TTTATTTTATTCTTTTAGAAATACTGTCATAACAAGTTTATTAATATGCTTATTCCGTTTAATATAGTTTCTACTTACTTTCATCAAAAAATTATGATTGAATCCATGTCCATATAATGTTTTCAAATACCAATAAATCAGAACTTAATCAATAATACACAATATCAGTAATATGTTGTTAATAAAGATTTTAATTAGGGTGTAAAACATTACACACAGATGATTGTCTATGTAAAAAAATTGGCTAACTATTTTCAAGTTAAAAAATGTAAACACAGTACTTTACACGCATTTTTATTAAAATTTATTATGTTCTGAGGCTTATTTTACATTGACTAATTCTATCTCCTTTAACAACTTTCTCGACGTTGTACGCAAATTAAACAAGATAATTTTAATAGTTGTTTACTAGAAATTACTTCCATCTACGATCGTTAAGCGCCGTCTTAACAATTTTCATTTCTAAACAACTTAGGATCGCTTACACTACACAACCCTTTGCGGATAAGCTCAACATTATTCATTGCAGCCTTTCTATCATTAGATGTTTACGCAAATAATTTATTAGCTTTCTTTGTATATTCACTTATGTATTCGCCAATTTCCGAATAATTGTATTAGCACGTATCTACCTGTAAAGTGAAATTATTTTGGCGAAACACAATGTAACACGGATGTACTTCTAACCCTGGATTAATATGGTAGAAGAGGCACGTACCGCATAATACAAGAGAGCGTAAATTAGAACAACCATCGAGCTGCCAGTGAGTTTCGTCATGTGGCACGGCACGATATTAATTAAAGCATAATGTTAAACAACCGACGTAAACAGCAGAATGTTATGTTCGGCACGAAATCGGGGCAACTCGCGATTGATTTGATTACTTCGATTCCCATTAATTATTTTAGTAGGGTAATACAGTTATTATATATATATTGAGAATATTCCTTTGAAAAGAATTATTGAGCAATAACTAACAATTGCAAGAAGAATTAAATAGTCGAGAATTATTAAGCAGTATGATTAAAAACGTTATTGGAATATATAAAAGATATGATTGTATAATACATATAATTATTCTCCATATTTAATAGACAAATCTGACAGATTTTATTTAAAATTGGAAATTAGCACGTCTAAATATGCCATAATTTAATATATAAGTAGAATATCAGAATATAATTATTATTGTTATTGTATTGAGAAAACGTCTTACTCTAATTTTTAATAAATATTTGTTTGAATATATAGTACTAACTAAATATTTACTAAATGTAAACATATTCATATTTATTTGATGCAAGAACCATTAATTTCATTTAAGTATAATTTTTTTATTAAGTAAATATTTATTTAATATGAATAAATGTTTAATTAGTACTATTTAAAAGAATATTTATTAAAATTTAATACATTCTTTTCAGTGTACGCAAAAATATATTTTGTTAAATGTTTTCAATAATTGACTTAATCAAAAATAATTCAGAATAGATAAAGTCTGTGAAATTATTAAATTTAAATTTTATGATAAAGCTGAAAAGCAGTTTGGTTTTACTTAACTTCATTAAAGCCTTTTGTTGAATTATTTGACGGTTCTACTATGTGTGGGATTGATGTTTTACTGCAGAAACAAACGAGATTCTCGCGGAAGACCATTTACCATACATGTATTATTTCACGGCGAAGCCGGATTAAATAAAATATTATCCGGGGAAAAATTAAACGCGTGTCGGCTGATGTTGAAGCACGACGGGAGATAAGCAGCACAATCCGTGGGGTAAAAAAGTAGGAGTTACATATCCGCAGCACACAATACTGTTGCGAATCTGTCGGATAATCCCGATGGAAAAAAAAGTCACGCCGCACATTTCCATTCAAAGTCGGATTATTCTGAAAATCTAGTACATAGAAATACATATGGCAATTAAAAGCCTCGTCGACTCTCCATACAACAAAATTGATAATAGCAAAATAATAATAATAGTAAAAAGTATAGTAAGTAACTAACAACTTTCACATATTCGGTTACTCTATTTAATCCACGAATTATACACAGCCGAAACACACAATAAATTTTAAACAATAAATTTGTCATTAAGAATTGAAAAAATAAAGTTTAATGTCATTTTAAAATGTAAATTTAGTTATTTTATTTGAAAAAAATATACTTTTTTTTACTTATATAAAGTTTATTTTTTATTTTATTTATTTTAAATTATATATATATTTTTTTAAATATAATGGACAGCTCGATCAGAAAATAATCATGAAAGCTGCTTGTGCGATTTTTGAAATCCGACAGTTACATACGAATTTATTTAATTCTTTTTAATTCCGTGTGATGCGTCTGCTATTTTAGTAATTTAGATATCTAAATTCAATAATTATACTTGACTGTAAAATGAATATAACCCATAAATAAAAGAAGATGCGAAACATGCCAGATGCGCTTGGTCAGGTTTTTAAGCTAATTAAATGAAACTGCACGAAGCAGTAATGATCCAAGCATGGCCTGACAAAAGCCCAGTACGATAATTCATTTTACGTATTGGCTGATGCTAATTGTAAATCCCAAGTTTCTCACACGTGGCGAGTTAATTATTGAGTGCACGGATATACACAACGGTGTTTCGCGGTTAAATATCCTTACTATTTCGTATATCAAATATTACGTTAAGTACATGTCTTGACAAAGATAGAAGTAATACAATATAAATGTAAATGTAGAAAAAAAACAAATTTATCATTTGATATATATTAGTATCAGATCGTCGCAATTATAAAAAGAACCTAAGCAAAACTCTTCATAAAAAAGAAAACAAATTTTATAATACTTTTACGTCATAAAATTGCCCTTAAAAGTATAGATTATATTATGATTGCGAAGTATAATAAAAACTTAGTTTTACGATGTAGACTTTTAATGCATCGAAGACACATCTCAAATTAGACGACTCACATCGTTTTTCCAAGCACCAAAGATATCATGGTCGAACTCGTCGAAAGTTTCATTCCATGCTGGAAGCTACACCAGCTCGTCACAGCAAAGTTATTCGCGCAAGATTCCAGCTTCTACGCGGAATTTAATCTCATTGAAAACCTCGCTCGGCACGAAACGAGCGAATGAAACGCCGGCGTTGAGAAATCTGGTCGGGCCACGTGGCGCACCAGAAAGATATCACCAAAAATCGCTTCCAGCTTCGCGGACTCCTACGCCGGAAATTAAAGATTCAACGAGCCGAGGGTAATTTTGGGGACGAGGAACAAGGACTGCGCGTAGCGGATGGGTAGCGGGAGAGGATTGAAAATGGAAATCGATGCTGGATTCTGTCTGGAAAGAAGTACACGATAAAGGAAGAAGGGTTACATTCGACGTCGTTAAGTCGTATTCGAGAGAAAACTTGAATTCTGGTAGGACAACTATTGATAGTAAAACGAAAAATCCGCTTACTTTCGTGAAGATTATACTTTGAGGAAGAATTTATTCCGGTCGTTATAAACGATCTAGATCTATCGTCGCTTCACGAACTCTTCGATTAAAATAAATTTCTTAAATGAAAATTTCATAAGTTTTAATCGATTTATTTTTTCACGATGTTATAATGTTTTAATATTAGTGTACATAAGTACACTAATATTTTGTTAATTATAAATAAGATTATTGGAAAAGATAATTTTTACTTATAATCTTTCTTTTGACTTAACAGCACATAATTTTTTCTGTTTATTATCTTTTAAAATAAAATTATATAAAAAAAGATTAAAAATAATAAAAACTCGAAAATATCAAAAAAAGAAGATATAAGCTCGATATGCAAAACAATAAACAAAATGTAAGATTAATGGCTAAATAAACGAGCAAAATTTAAAATGTTTAACAACAAGATGATTTATCCATAAAAGTTCAAAACAATTATTGTAATAATCGCAAACAAATATATAGTAATTGCTAGATGTTTCCTACTCACGAAGTCTTTTTCATTTAAATAAATAATAAGTTAAAACATTAAAAATATATCAAAATGTAATTAAATAATAATAGTGTGAACGTAATTAAACGTAATAGGGATCGATGATAATAATTATTAAGTAATAAAATTTAATAAAAAGTTGTTTGACCATATCTAAAGCTAAACACACATATATCAGGAATTAGAAAATACAAAAATATATAAAAGTATCAACAAACATCTTTTTACGTCATTGTGTTAAAAAATAGAGAGAGAAAGAGAGAGAGAGAGAGAGAGAGAGAGAGAGAGAGAGAGAGATGGAAAATTATTTTACAAATTTTAAATAATTTTGTGTTTTCAAGCGAGAATATGTTTAGTTGGTAAAGTAAAAAATCCAAAATAGTTGTTTAAAAGACATTTTTTAATAATATTCTAAAGTAATGGTAGATAAGAGTCAAAACGCAGTTAACGGTTTGCACGTTACTCCATATTAAACGTTTAATTAAAATTCATGGGTACAAATTAATTCCGTGAAAGGCAAACGTTTTTACTCAGCTTCGAGCTATCCTCAGCGCCTGAATATTGAAAAAACAGACAATTTATTAATGTTTTAACTTTTCATTTGTTTAACTGAAGAAGATTGGATGCGAAACATCCTGTGATTATTATTTATTTGTTTGCAATTATTATTCGTTTTGTATTTTTATGAATAAAACCACTCTTTATTGTTAATAATTTTAAATTTCACTTATATATTTTCCTATCGACTTTACATTCTATTTACTAAAAACTCGAAATAATATATCTAAATTCAAACAAAAATCAACTTATAATGACGCTGAAACATTAAAAAATCAGACAAAAATGATTTCTTATAATATAATTATTATTTGATTGAATTATAATAGATGTAAAAGATTTAATAACTAATCAAATATTATATTAAGTTCACGTTGAAATAAAAAAACTATTTTTGTGTAAAAATTTAAATTGTATGCGTGAATTGAATTGAATTTGAAAACATGCTAATCAACATGCTCAATTTGCAGGAGGAGTGCGCATCGATGATGCAAGATCTCAGCGACAAGATCAACAATAAGCATCACGAGGTACGCACGCATCCGCTACTCTCGATCTTCAAAATGGCCGAGGTTGAGGTGAAGATGCCGTACAGCAACGAAGCGGCGATCTCTAGGTCGTCATCAGTGCTCCTTGTTGTTTTGTTTGCAATCAACTTCTTTGGATCGACTTGCCTTTTTGGTTCGTGACAGGGACATCAAGATATCACTAAGAATCTGTATCGAGTATCTTCCTTGCGGAGGATCGCCACATGTCGCGTTCACGTGGTAGCGGCGGTTCCAACAACAGGTTCCACCCTGATGAGAGAGAACTCGTGGCCTTGAAGGGCGCAGATCCACGAAGGGAAGAAATCTCCGCCTACCCCTCGATCGCCGTGCGGATCGCCGTGCAGGGATCGATCGGCGGATCCGCACAGATTCCCACACATTCCCGCCGATCGCGGATCGCTCACCGCGCCGTTGAAAATATTATTAAATATATATTGATATTTAATGATATTTTTGTTACATACTACATCTCGACAGGGCGTCCTCAAACCTTATTCTTAATTCTTCGACCGTCATATAATTCCGGGTCTTGAAACGTGCAATGATTACCACAATTAACATTAAATCAATACTGTATAATAAACAAAATTATTTTTCTTTTCAGACAAAATTCTAAAGAAGAATATGCTCTTATTTTTACATGTTACTATGTTTTCTATGTACATATATTTTTCTTTATTTTAACATTTTATTTTATCATTTACTTTTTATAGCAAATTACAAAAGTTATTAAGGCACCAATAAAAATTGTGACATGTGTTTAAACTGCATTAAAATTGCTTATTTTAAGATTATCCAGATTTTATTTTTCAAACACACACACACACACAAATATATTAGAGAAAATAGCGAGTTTACATATACTTTTACACACAAAATATTCATTGCATGTTCAACAGTTTAAAAGCATTTACTGTGGATGTTAATGTATATCACGAACGCGATAAGTATGCCTGACTGAAGTATACTGCATTATACTATAATAATACTGTAATAACACCTACTACAAAATAGTGCTATTGCGCTACGCAGTACTCGAAGGATTAATGACAGATGATCGATGATGCCCTGGACGATCGACACCGCTTTGAGGTCGAGTTTGATGAGTTTTAGAAACGAGATTGACACGGAATACATTTGTCAAATGCGCGAAATCAAGTAGAAATCATTGGACAATTGTGTTTTCATTTTTCACAATAATTTCGCCGTCAAAAGTATTTTAGGATGAGACTATGCGCGATCGATATGCAACCGACGTAACTTGGACACGAGTTGCATTGCGAGTTAATCATTAACAATCGTACGCGGTACTAATGATATGACTATTTGATTACAAGATGATTTACGGGCGAGTGATTGATGGAGAATAATATTAATGACATATAAAAATTGAGAAATGTTAAAAAATAAGAGAAATCAAGATTTTTGCGTTCTGTAATGAGATTAAATATATACATATATAAATTATATATATATTATTCTATATATAATGTATATATACATATAAAATAAATTTTCAATGTCCAATCTTGATTGGCAGACAAGATTACAATCATTACTTAGAAAAGCGGATGATTAACGCAAAGTCCATAAATAGATAGAAACATTTTGTTGCAAATTGTTGAATAAAATTATTACATATGTATATACACTCGAAGTATTTTATTTTTAAACGTTGAAACTCTTCGCACAATTATATTATCATTAATATTATATTATAATGTTAATCCGGATGGAAAATAAATTAATAATTCGAATTAATTCGCGCTTTTGACGCGATAAAGCGGCAATCTTGACAAATTAATCGAAAAAAAAATAAAAGTAAAGCCGCACGTTTTTGAAGTTGGTCTCAAGAGGCATCCCACAAAATTGAAATAAAAATATAAAATCGATCATAACAGATCATGATAGAAAGGCAAAATGCGGTGGGCGCGATTCGCGATCGTTCGAGACGAGAGTATGACACGTGTATAATAAATCGATCGTAACGCGAGAGGCAGTCTGTATAAATGGCTAAGCACTAATCTACTGTATAATTAATGGCCAAGCAACACAAACTTCCTCCCATACTGGACCATTAGGTGTTTGTTAAAGTTGAAATCTAAACCTGAAGCACATACGTCTATACGATGTGTCGCGAGAGACTCGAGTGTATAGATAAATGTAGATTGTTAATAGCGATGTAAACAGAAGAAAAGGTGTGTAATAGAGGTAGCCTGGAAATGCGGTCGAGCGAAAAAGTCGATCGTGGTTCGCTCGTTTTCAAGTTTCAAATCGCACCGATGTATACGAAGTATCCCGAGTCGATCTCGACAAATGGTCCCCGAATTCTTTTCTTTCCCTTTGTCATTTTTTTCCTCACTTTTAAATCGCATACATTCAAATTGTAAATATCCAATTATCTTAGAAGTGTACGGGGTGCCTTAGAAAATCTAAGTCCTAAAGAGGCAAGAGACGTCCAATCAAATTTTTGCTAAATAAAAAGATGGCCTCAGAACTTGCTAGATAATATCGCCTTAATATCACACATATAGATTTAGAGAAGCCAATACAAATCCGACAATCGAATTTTCAACTCATTATACAGGAAGTATATCATTAATCAAACATAGAGACACGAGATAATTCTTTTAGACATGAAATAACCTTTTTTATTTATATTTACAAAAAAAAAGAAGCAATATGTCTTCTTGTTAGACATTAATTGCTTACAGTGTAAATGTACTTTCGCTCTCCTCGATAGTTTCTTTTATATATTTGTGTCATCGATTAGTTTTATTAGCCGATGGCGCCGATAATGGCAGCGCATATCAATGCGAAACGGCGCGGCACCTCGCATCGCGTCCGTAATTATGGCGCGCAATGTCAATAGTTCGTGACTGTGGGAGGCACCCTGTATAAACGGTCGATTTGTCAGCCCGAACGACGAGAGGGGGATACGAAGCGGAAAACTTGTAAACGGCGACCGAGCGCTTGACATTTACAAATTATTCAGAAATTCACGAGCTGGAATTATTCAGCAGCCGGAGAAGTCCTCCCGCTGGCTCGATCATAATCTCGATACCGGCGATTAATAACCCTCGGGATTCCTATAATTATCCCTCGCTGCTACAGACTCGTCACTACTACACCCATCTCTTTTAAAGATGATCAGTTTAGTGTTTAAGGATCAAAGACAATCTTATTTTCAGCATCGAATCTCGATAATATTACGTCATTTGTTTTAAACGGAAATGTCTTAATTACGTTCTAATAAAATTCCAAATACATTGAAATTTAATTATCATGAACGGCAAATGTAGAATAGCTGAATAGAAAACTTAATGCAAAAATGTCAACCATAATTTAATTCTTTCTTTCTTGATTACTTTTCAATGCAATATCAGCATAGTTACATCTATGTGTGTATATATATATA